AACCACTGCTTGTTTGTTTTAGTGCCACACCCTGCTGTGCTCAGAGCTTACTCCTGATTCTGCACTCAGGGATCACCCCTGGGATCATATGGGGTGCCAGGAATCAAACTCGGGTTTCTAAGGCAAATGCCCTACCTACCGTACTCTTCCTTTGACCCCCTATGATCACATTTTATTCTATTTTTGGTTTTGGGACCATACTCAACAGTGCTCAGGGCTTACTCCTGGCTCTGTGCTCAGGGATCATTCCTGGTGATGCTCAGGGGTTCTGAGTTGGCACCATGCAAAGCAAGCACCAAAGTGGCCTTGTACTCTCTCCAACCCCTGCTGGCACATTTTATGAAATGAGGAAACAAAAATTCAGAGGGGTTAGACCACACAGTGATTCAAACCTGAGTAGTCAAAGCATATCCTAATACACCCAATAGAGTCAGTTAGTTATGTAAGCCCTCAGACGAATCTTTGGCCAGGAGTTAAGTTATTTAACTTTTCGAGACCTTAATTGTTGTGCAACACCCTATGAGCATCTGTGAGCTGGGAAAGTTTTAGTTCTCTTCATTTGCTTTGCAGGGTGCAAATAATAAATATATCCCAAATAATAAATATATTTAATAGTTCAGCTGTCTGAAGGCAGCCAAGCAAAGCGCTGTCTTGGAATATTCTGTTCCCCGGCCTGAAAACATTCTCTTTTTTCTTTTTTCTTTTTTTTTTAAACTCTCCCTTAAACATTATTTTGTCCAAGGAACCTCTCCTGATTGTGCACCCCAGATAAACTTGGGACTCTCTTTTTTGCTTTTTGGGTCACACCAGGTGATGCACAGGGGTAACTCCTGGCTCATGCACTCAGGAATTACTCCTGGTGGTGCTCAGGGGATCACATAGGATGCTGGGAATTGAACCCGGGTTGACCACGTGCAAGGCCCTACCCGTTATGCTATTGCTCCAGTCCCAGACTTGGGGCTCTTTACCTAGGTTCATTCATCTTTGGGACCTTTTGTGACAACATTGATTATAGTTGTATTAGTATCACCCATTCTGTAGTCTACACTGGACCTCAGTGGCATGAGGATGGGGCTCAGGAAATCTCTGGCCTCCATTGGTTTGTGGAAGGACATCAGCTTAACGTGCAAATTATTTTTGTTTTAGAAGTCTAATGCTAAATCTGTACTGGTATTTCTCCTCAGAGGTTTGGGCTAGTGACCAAGTCTTCAGTGTCAGGTGTTTGGTGTTTTTCTTCTCTTTTCTCTGACATCACTCAGTACAATGGTCTCCAGTCTAATAGAGGTGGTGTCCACCGGCAGTTCACGGTTCACTGACAAAGAAAGGTCTCTCCTAAGCCAGCAGCTACAATTCCAAGTTTTCTCTCTTGTTCCAGTTGACTTTCGAGAGCCTTCTGCCTGGTCTGGGCACGAAGATCTTTCCCTGGCCTCCTGGGAAATGAAGACTGCTCGGAACTCGGCCTTCCTTTCTGCAGGGGCCTAAAGGGACACTCAGAAGTCAAGGAGAGCTTAGGCCATTGACTTTTTTCCCTCATTTTTTTTTTCTTTTTTCAGGTTCTCAGAAAAAAAATTCAAACTATTGGATCGGGAGACCCCTTTCAATCCCCCTGGCATTACCAGGTCCCTTAAACACTGTGGAATGCTCCCCCTTACCCCCCCCCCCCCAAAAGATTAAAAGAAATTTAATTCCTAGTAGACAATGTGGCCTAGCAAAGGTGGCACAGGCGGCGTTGTATGGGATAAACCGTGCCTTCGTTTAAAGTCCACAATTGTTTCCTCCGGATTACCGGGGAAAACCTTTAAGATGCAGGAAGATGCAGGCAAGGGCCGCGCGGGGGACGGGTTGGGGGTGGGGGCTCCGCCTGCAGACCGCGCCCCCCCCAACATCTCCGAGCGGTCTCCAGACGACGGCAAAACTCAGAGGGAATCTGACGCCAGGCCCAGCCCGCGGGAGGGATGCAAGGGCTGGAGAAGCGGAGGGACGCGGGAGCACAGGCCGCGGACGGCTGGGTCCCGGGCACCCCCACCCCCCAAGCTCCCGCCGGCCCGCCCCCGCCGGAAGTGACGTCCCGCCGCGCCCGGCAACCGTTACCAGGGAGCCGGTCTCCAGGAGCGCGGGAGCCCGGATGCCAGGGGGGTGCGGGGGGCGGGGAAGGGATCTCGTGAGCAGAATTTGAGGTAACCCCGCCACCCCGCGATCGGAGACTCCCCCGAACCCCGAAATAGGGGCGCACTGGCCGCTCCCGCTCGCCTTCCCGGGGCAGCGCCCCCTTCACCGCCCCCCCCACCCCGGGCCTCGCGGGGATTCCGGCGGCGCCCCCGCGGGGTGAGGGTCGGCGGAGGGGGCTGTTGGGGTTCCGGGGCACCCCACCCCTTCTCCCCGGCCGGGGGGCGTGCTAGGGGGCCAAGTCAAAGGAGGGAGCGGCTGGGCCCGGGCTCTGCAGCCCGGCCCCCGGCGCCGCGGCTCGTCGGGGCCAAGTCAAAGCACGTCCTGGTTGGAACCCCCCGCCCCGCGCCCCCCGGTTCCTAAGTGGGCGAGAGCGCGGGGCGGGGGCCGGGGGGGCCCATTGCTTTGGCTCGTTTCAGCCTCAGCGCCCCTGGGCACAGGCAGTACCCGCCGTGCCGGTCTCTGGGCTTGGCGCGCCGCAGGCCGTTTGAGTGGGTGGGCAGCGCGGGGTGCGGGGGACCCCGCAGACTTGCTTCCGCCCCCCGCACCCCAGGAACGTCGGGCACGGCCAGCCCGTGCTGCGTTTCCTCGAGCAAGTCCTGCGTCTTCCCGTGTTCTGGGGGTGCATGCAGGCAGGCCTGGACTTGCACTGCTCTGAGCATCTCGGGACGTCAGACTTGATTTAACCTACAGATTGGCTCCAGCGGGCATCGCATCAGTAACGCCTCCGTTGTGAGACTTGTGACTGTGTTTGGCATATGGAATAAGTGAGGGGTAGCTTGCCAGGCTTTGCCCTGCGAGCGTGATCACACTCTCTCTCGGTAGCTTGCGGGGCTCTCTGAGAGGGGCGAAGGAATCGAACCTGGGTCAGTGGGCCGCGTGCAAGGCAAACGCCCTACCTGCTGTGCTATATCGCTCCAGCCCGATTTAACCTAAGGTTTCTTTTTATAGTTTGAGGGACATTAAGCTATAACATTAGTTATCCTTTCTTCCATCTTTTGGGAATTTTTTTTCAACAACAACGACAAAAATATGTTATCAATGGCTTGATCAAAATTATGGCGCAAAACCCCTCTGTTTACATTTTGGGGGTTTCCTAAATATCCAGTTCTACCCCACTCAGTTTAACAGACCGATTTTAGAGCAAACTGCATGCACTAACGTTTTCGGTAAAATACGAATATCCATTTTCTGGTTAACTCTTGGAGACATACAAGTGGTTTTCCTTTTTTCGAGAAGTTCATTTAAAAAAAAGTTTTTTTTTTAAATGTTTTTGCTAGCTTTAAAAATTGCCTGCCTGCAAACTTGGGGCTATTTTTCCCTGCTACTAAACAAGATATAGTTGCATGCAGGAAGCACTTGGCTCTTGCATTTTGGTGCAATGCATTTTGGCCAATAATGCATTTTGGCAAGTGATCAGATATTCTTTACTTTGTAAAATTATGATCTTTCTTACTGTTACCCACTACTGAAGATCTGGCTTCGACTGTCTGTCTCCAGTACTATATTAAAGGAAGAAAATATATATCTAGTGTTACAGCTCTTTTAGAATTTGTCTATCAGACTTTCTAATCCTTATTGGAAAGCCCATTAAAGTATATTAAATATATGTTATAATTTAATATATAATATACCTTATATATTATATATAATTTAATACATAAGTATATATATAATATATTTCAGTAATAGTACAAAATAGAAAAGCAGTCCCGGGAAAGCAGTGCCCATAAGACCATGGTCAGCTGGAGGGCAGGCACTGTTATTCTTATGCCCCAGACCTGCAGGAAGAGCTGGAGAAACCTGCATTTGAAAAGAAGGCCTTGAAAGATGTACAAAGCGTTTGTAGTTTTGGAAACTGGGAAAGGAACAACAACATTCTAGGTGGAGGAAACAGCATTAACTGAATCAGAGGTGGGGAAAACTATTTAAGGAGCAGTGACAATTTCAGTCAACTGAAATTTGAAAGGATGAAAGGTAACCATTTGGAAATAAAAATTGGAAAAGGTGAAATTGAACTTTTAAAGTCTGGAAATCTAAGAAATTTGGATTATATTTTGCAGGCAGTGAGAATTGACCTGCAATGGGGCAGGTGACAACCGGGAGACTTGAGTCTGTCATTGAAGGCTGAGAAGTTGAAGGCCTGAATGAGAGGGGTCCCAGGTCTGGGCAAAAATCAGCCGGGTGCTGGTGAAGGAAACAGCAGCAAAGTGTGAAGTTTCTTCTCAGATTCAGTTGGGTGTGGCCAGTCTGGGCTCAGGTTTGTCAGTCTGATTCTCAGAAGAGAGAGGTCGCTTAATGTGGCTTAGTGCCTCGTGTCTGGGGTGGGGGAGGGGGGCTTGGCTTCCATGCCTCGTGTCAAAGAAGAAAGGAAGAAAGAAAAGAAAGAAAGAAAGAAAGAAAGAAAGAGAAAAGAAACTGTAAATTTGGGTTTACGTGGACTATTGTCTCAAAGTACATAGTTATTAGAAGGCTGCCTTCAGCCTAACAAGCTCTGGATAGAAGTTATAGCATTGAATGGGAATGATAATAGTGTAAGGTGGGATTTGTTGCTTATTTTGTCTATGTTAACTCAATGTTGATCCAGTTGTTTTTCAAACCAGATACACAGAGAAAAACATTAAGGATTAAATATTAGGAATACTTTCTAATATCTTGTAGCTTTCATAATAAATTCTTCGTACTTTGATTTCTTTCAACAAATAGCCTTTCTGCCATATGGAATTGTATTTTGCCTGCCTACTTCCTATGAAATTAATACTGATTTTTTTTAAACAAAACTCTTTATTATTGCTAAAAATAAGGGTTTTTCCATCTATTTTTCTTCTAGTTTAAGTTATAAGACCTAACCATGAGTGACCAAATAAAATACATTGTGGACAGTCTTAATAAGGAGCCTTTTAAGAAGAATTATAACTTAATCACTTTTGATTCCTTGGAGCCTATGCAACTATTACAAGTTCTCAATGATGTTCTTGCTGAGATTGACTCAAAGGTAAGCGTTTTTTTTTTTTTTTCATTTTTTTTTTGTTTTGTTTTTTGTTTTTTGTTTTGCTTTTTGGGTCATGGTGCTCAGGGGTTAAACCTTGCTCATGCACTCAGGAATTACTCCTGGAGGTGTTCGGGGGACCATATGGGATGCTGGGACTCGAACCCGGGACAGCCATGTTGGTTGTGTGCAAGGCAAATGCCCTACCCGCTGTGCTATTTCCAGCCCCTCATTTGTTTTTTACGGTCACATCCAGTGGTGCCCGGGGCTTACGACTAGCTCTGTGCTTAGGAATCACTCCTAGAGGTGCCCAGAGGATCATATGCAGTGCCTGAAGGCCCACATTTGGTTGCAGGGATCAAACTGGGGTTGGCTGCCCACAGAACAAGTGCCTTAATGGGGCTGGAGTGATAGCACAGTGGGTAGGATGTTTTCCTTGCACATGACCAATCTGGGTTCGATTTGCAGCATCCCATATGGTCCCCCGAGTGCTGCCAGGAGTAATTCCTGAGTGCAGAGCCAGGAGTAACCCCTGTGCATTGCTGGGTGTAATGCAAAAATAAACAAACAAGTGCTTTAACCCTTGTACTTTATCTCTGGCTCAAGAATTTTCTCTTCATCTGTGGTAAAAAGGATGTCAGCAAAGTCTCTTTCTGCCTCTCAAGTTGCCATGGGCCTTGGAAATCATTAATCTCTCTGGACCTCATTTTCCATTCCATTACTAATAGCAAGTGATTTTTAAGTTTCTCGACCAGTGCACAATTATCTACGTGTACCTTATTTAGACATTATTTCTCTAAGACATAAATAGATTTAGTCCTGGAATGAAAATGCTTCTACAAAAGGTTTTGTTATATGCAAGTCACCTCATGTCTCTCACATACTGGCCTTTTCTCCTGGGGGTTTTCAATGTGATATTCTTAGTAGAGTTCTGATCTGACATGTATGCATCCTCCCTTGGAATCTGGAGGCCTCTGGACTGATGTTTTATGAAGAGACTGTGGTGCCTGTTACACTCTAGCAGAGCAGTTTTGTCAGTTTAAATACTGTTCTTTGTTCAATATACAATGACCATTTTTTCATTTTTTTTTTAATTTGTTAGCAAGTCATTGATATCAGAGAGGAGATGCCGGAGCAGACAGCCAAGAGGATGTTGAACCTTCTTGGTATCCTTAAATACAAACCTCCAGGAAATGCAACGGACATGTAAGAATTTTGTTACAGGTTGTTTTCTTAAAACTGTGCCACCATATCTAAACCTTCATAGACTCTAGTCTGTTTCTTTAGGCAATCCTTCGTCTCCCATCCCTAAATCACTGAGTTGCAGAATAATCTTGAATGTTCCATTTTATGCATGTCTGAAGTGGGTCATTTTTTTTTCCTAATCAAAAATGTCATGCAAGTTAATTATTTTCTTCTGCCATCCAAGGAAAAAAATCCCAATAACTTACACCTGCTTAGTCAGGTAACATAAGTACGAAGGCAGACCCTCCCCTACCCCATGTCCTGTATTTTCAGTGACATATTGAGGGCCTACTTTTATGCTTCGTCTCTTTTTTTTTTTAATAATGTAGGAGTACTGCTATTTATTCAGCCATTGGTTAAGCTGATTGAATTGGACATGAACTCCACATTACTTTTTATTTTTTTATTCAGAATGTTAATTTTATTTTATTATTTTATTATTATTTCCCCCCACCCTTTTTTTTGATTCACTGTGAGATACAATTACAAAGCTTTCATGTCTGAGCCTTGGTCATATAATCATCAAACACCCATCCTTTCCCCGGTGCACATCTTCCACCACGAAAACCCTCAGCATACCCCCAACCCCCTTTCCAACCCTTCCCCTGCCTATGTGGCAGACCCCATACTCTCTACTTTGGTTACATTTGATATTTTGACACCAGTGTCACCACCATTCAAACCTGCTGAAAAGGCAATGCTAGATGACTTGTTTTGTATTGCTTGTTATGGATAGAATATAACGTCCAGGAAATTCTGTGTTATTCTCTTTGGGAGCTTTAGTTTTTATAGTACCTGGGTCTGGGCTGTTGATGAGATTACATGGTGCCAGGGGGCAGTTTGTGGATGTGACTGCCAAGCTACTAGAAAACTGGGAAGCTGGGGGGAGGAGGCCCACTCCCAATCCTAGCGGACTTGGAGATCTCAGTCACGGGTGCCCGCATACCTGGGTTTTCTGGTCGGTCCACTCTCTGGTGAGGTTCATGCCCTCTTGGGCGAGGCACAGCCCCTCTTGGGAGAGGTTGTCTGAGCATGTGGAGAGCGGCCTTGAGCATGGTGGTGGTTGGGTTCTGGAGGTTTTTGGCTGTCGGGGCTCTTCTTGGGGCGGGGAGGGCCACTCAACCTGCCCCCCTCCGAGGTGCCCCAGTCAGGACAGCCTGGTGCGGGGTCAGGAGATTCTGTGGCACTCTCTTCCAAGAGCTTTAGTTTATAGTCTCTGGGTCTTGGCTGTTGATGAGATTACATGGCGCTGGGGGAAGTTTGTGGGTGTGACTGCCAAACTACTGGAAAACGAGGGGTCTGGGGGAGGAGGCCCAGTTCCAATCCAAGTGTCCCGGAGATCTCAGTCACGGGTTCCCGCCTACCTCTGCGCTACAGTCCCTAACTGCATCTTTTGATCTCTTTTGAGATTTATGAGTCTCTGAAATAAGGCCAATAAGTCAGCTTATATAGCTGAGCTGGAGGTGGTTTGTGGGTGTGGCTCCCATATACCTAACTTTTAGCCGTTTACTTTCTTGGTAAACTTGGTCCCAAGTTGTTGGGGTCTGGTCAGAGGCACAGCAGCAATTTTGGGGTATCTGGAAGTCTGAAGGCGCTATCAGGCTGCTGATGCACTCGCCCCATAGGTACAGGTTGACCTGCTGGCAACACCATACCCCCTGCTTCATCTCTTTTTACTTTATTTTTGTTGTTGTTTTTGGAGGTTTTATTTGGATCACACCCGGTGTTGCTCAGGGGTTACTCCTGGCTCTGCACTCAGGAATCACTCCTGGGGGTGCTCAGGGACCATATGGGATAATGGGAATCGAACCCAGGTTGGCCACATGCAAAGCAAGCGCCCTATCCACTGTACTATTGCTCTGGACAGCTTCATCTTTTTTAAAATCAAATCTTTATTTAGTTATTTTATTTTTTGTTTTGTGGGCCACATCCAGCAGTGCTGGGGAGTTGGGGGAGCTACTCCCACCTCTGTGCTCAGGGATCCACGTGGTGCCAGGGATAAATCTTGGGCCACCCACATGCAGAGCATGCTCTCTGCCCATTGCATTACCTCTCTGGTACCAGCTTTACCTTTTTTGTTTCCTTTGGGTTTTGGTTTTTGGGCCACACTCAATAGTGCTTTTTGCTCAGGGATCACTCCTGGCTCTGCTTTGGGATTGAGCCTGGCCAGCTGTGTGCAAGGCAGGCATCTTACCTGCTATCCTGCCTCTCCAGCCTCCAGCTTTAGCTTTTCAGAGTAGTCATGGAAAGAAGAGGGGGGCTTATAAGTTGGATTTTATTTTAGCATGTGTGTGTTTATTTTCTCTTCATAGGAGTACCTTTCGTCAGGGTCTGGTGATCGGAAGTAAACCTGTCATTTACCCAGTACTCCACTGGCTTCTTCAGAGAACTAATGAACTAAAGAAAAGAGCATATTTAGCTCGTTTTTTAATAAAGCTTGAAGTGCCAAGCGAGTTTCTTCAGGATGAAACTGTAGCTGATACCAATAAACAGGTACTCTCTGCAATGGATTTCAGGATACACACGTTCTAACACATCTTATCTATTTGCTGTCTCTGTTCTAGGGGGCACCAAGGGGGAAAATAGTTATTATCTAATCATGTAATCTGAATTGATTACCTAAGCTGTAATCATGTATTAAAAGACTTAGCGGTACCTGAGCAATAGCACAGCGGGTGAGTTTGTTGCCTTGCTCACGGCTGACCCGGCTTTGATTTCTGGCGTTCCATGTGGTCCCCAGAATACACGGAATGTAGCTCAGGAATAATTCCTGAGTTCGGAGCCAGGAGTAACCCCTGGACATTGCTGGATGTTGCCCAAAAGAAAAAAAAAGACTTCCTTTTAGGGCTTGGATGGTAGCTCAGATGTAGTTCAGAGGCCCTGGATTCAATCCTTAATACCAAAAACTAAAATAAAATAATTATATTTTTAACAGAAATACTGTCAAAATGGTAGAAGTAAGTAGATGGGGGGAAAAATCCTAAAATGGGAATTTTGAATGATTGATTATTTAAGAATTGTGAGTACAGAGGATATTGAACTTGGAAAAGCAGATACTTTGCTCATCAGTTAGTGGCTACATTTTATCCTCCAAATCAGAGAGGAAGGAAGCTCCTAAGAATCACTCTAGGGCATCTGTACTTGTATATTCATTGTAGCACTGTTCACAATAGCCAAATCTGCAAGCAACTCAAGTGCCAAGAACAGATGACTGGTTAAAGAAACTTTGGTACATGTACACAATGGAATACGATGCAGCCATTAGGAGAGATGAAGTCATGAAATTTGTTTATAAGTGGATAGACATGGAGAATATCATGCTAAGTGAAGTGAGTCAGAAAGAGAGGGACAGACATAGAAGGACTGCACTCATTTGTGGAGTATAAAACAACGTAACATGAGACTGACACCTAAGGATAGTAGATACAAGGGCCAGGAAGATTGCCCCATAGCTGGAAGCCTGCCTCGTGAGCGGGGGGTGAGAAGGCAGCTGGAATGGAGAAGGGATCACTAAGAAAATGACACTTGGAGGAATCAGTCGGGTGGGAGATGTGTGCTGAAAGTGGACAAAGGACTAAACATAATAACCTCTCAGTATCTGTATTGCAAACTGTAATCCCCCAAAGTAGAGAGAGTATGGGGAATATTGTCTGCCATAGAGGCGGGGGGAGGGTGGGAAAAGGGGGTATACTGGAGATATTGATGGTGGGAATGTGCACCGGTGGAGGGATGGGTATTTGGTCATTGTATGATTGTAACCCAAACATGAAAGCTTGTAACTATCTCATGGTGATTCAATAATTTTTCAAAAATTTTTAAAAAAGAAAAAGAATCACTCTAGGACAGGGGCTGGAGAGAGAGTATAGAGGGTAAGGCTCTTGCCTTGCACGCGGCTGAACCAGGTTCGATCCCTGGTACCCAATATGGTCCTTTGAGCCCCCCAGGAGTGATCCTGAGTGAGAGCCGAGAGTCAGTCAGCCCTGATCTCAGTTCAGTGTGGTCAAAAAATAAACAGAAAGAATCCATTTAGGACAAAAGGGAAAAATTGCCCTTAAGCCAGGCAAAGCAAGTGTGTGTGAACAGTCTGTAAGGAAAGAAGCTCGCCTTGGGATCTCCAGGGCTTTCTGGTCAGACAGCACTGTGGCACTGTGGCACTGTCCTCCCGTTGTTCATCTGTGTGCTTCAGCAGGCCCAGTAATGTCTCTGTTGTGAGACTTGCTGTTACTGTGTTTGGCATATCGAATATGTCCGGGGAGCTTGCCAGGCTTTGCCCTGCAGGCGAGATACTCTCGATAGCTTGCCGGGCTCTCCAAGAGGGGCTGAAGAATCGAACCTGGGTCAGACAGAAGGTCGAGAAAGGGCCTGAAGTCTAAGGGAACAGTATACTTTCCCCAGCAGAATATTTTGGACTTAACAGTTTTAACATTTTTGACTATTGAGTGTTCTGGCTGGTTTGAATCCTAGTCCTGGAATTTCAAAATTCATTGTTGATCAGACTACGGAAAGAAAGGATTCAGGCTCAAAATTGTAATGGACTCTGGTGGGGCTGGAGAGAGAGTACAGCAGTAAGGCGCTCCTTGCAGTGCCGCACCCTGGCTCAGTGCCCGGGCTCTATACAGTCCTCTGGGCACTGCCAGGAGTAACCCCAGAGCTTCACTGGGAGGGCCCAAAAACTTTAAAAAATAAAAAAAAAATTCTCTTCCTTTCTCCTATCAATTTTTTTTTTCAAAGTTCCTCTGCTGGAAACTTATTTGTAGTTTTTATTAATATTCCTGCTAATTAGTGGAAGAATTAATGATGATAAATGTGTTTGTGAAGCATATTTGAAGTATATCTGTAAAGTGACTTATGCATTTAATTATTTAGTAGCACTGTAGCACTGTAGCACTGTCCTCCTATTGTGTCTCCATCGTAAGACTTGTCTTACATATTGCATACGAGCCCAGGTCGTTTGTATGCGATATGTTTTTCGCATATTGAATATGCAACAGGGAGCTTGCCAGGCTCTGCCATGCGGGCGGGATACTTTCAGTAGCTTGCTGGGCTCTCCAAGAGGGACGAAGGAATTGAACCCGGGTCGGCTGTGTGCAAGGTAAACACCCTACCTGCTCTGCTGTGGCTCTAGCCCTCAACTATTTAGTAGAGATCTTCATTTAAAATGTATAATAAATTAAGAAAAAGATTAATTTTTCTATCATTGTCCACTTTCTTAAAATTCGGGAAAAGTGTTGTGTTGTGATGAATTTTTTTTAACTTATTCATGTACTTTTCATCAGACACTTGGTTATGCATATGCTAGGCCCCAGGGATGCACAAATGTGCACAATGGACAATTCTTGTCTTTCTGGTGCTCCCTGTATAGCAAAAGGGGACAAGTGTCTATGCTGTTGTAATTTTGTATGACATGTGCTCTCATATCATGATAGAATAGAGAAGGTTTCTCTGAAGCAAATGGTATTCTACACTGACACCTAAAGAGTAAGAATGATCTGTGTTGGGCTGCAGGGATCGTAGAGTATGTACACTGGAGATGAAGGAATAGAGTGTTGCAGGGACTAGAATACCGCTCAGCTTAGCTAGAATAGAGAGTGTGAGGCAGGAAAGGAACCAGAATATTATGGAATAGTATTTAGTGGCCAGATTACGTGCTTCTGCCTTTTTGTGTCTCGCATATCTATTGACGGACCTGTAATGCTGATCGACTATGATTTAAGTAATGACTCTTAGAGAGTCTGGTTAAGGAAAGTATACAGAAGCCCGGGGACACAGCTTACTTCACATCGAAGGACCTGGTTTCAATTACCAGCACTCTCTAGCACACTGCCTCTCTACCTCAAAAAAAAAGAGGTGGGGAGAAGCCTACTGGTTTTATTCATTGGTTTATAATGATTTTAATTTTTTTTTTTAGTATGAAGAATTGATGGAAGCTTTTAAAACTTTGCATAAAGAATGTGAGCAGCTTAAGACATCCGGATTTTCTACAGCAGAAATAAGAAGGGTAAAAAAAAGAAATATTTTTTTACTTGAATAATGTTAGATTTACGAGTTTTGGTTGTAGTTAGTTCACAGTTTATTTTCCCTCCCCCTCAGTGCTAGGGATTGAACCCAGGGCCTCAGACATGTGAGGCAAATGCTTTGCACTGAGCCTTATACCGAGCCAGTATGATTCTTTATGATTTTTGTTATTTATTTGTGTGGAGGGGGTGAGGGGGCGGGGGCAGGGGTGTCGGGATTTGGCCACACCCAGCTGTCCTCAAAGCTTACTCCTAGCTCTGTTCAGGGGTGGTTCCTGGGGATTGAGCCCAGGTGGCTTGTATGCAAAGCAAGCTATGAAACTAGTTAAAAATAAAGTAACTTAGGGACAGGGGGCTTCAGGTCAAATGGGTGTAGCACATACCTTGTGTGCTCAAGACCTCATGTTTGATCCCTGCCACCCCATGGCTCCTAAGCATCAGTGGGTGTTGCCCCGGTGGCCCCCAGCTCCGTGTGACTCATCAGTATCAGGGCTGCTCAGGGTCTGGCCACAGAGTCAAGGACTGCCAGCACTGCCGCCGGATACCCCTGAGCAATAAATGAATGAAAATGGAAAGTAGTTTATTTATGATGCTTTTATTTTTAGTTAGGGAATTGGTTAATTGAAAAAAAGCAGGCATAAATTTGTGTCTTGAAACTACCAAAGCCTTAAAAATAATTTTGAGGCGCATATGCTGCCCAAGTCCATGTGCAGCTTGTGCCCACGTGGCCGAGCACATGTGGTTCCCGAGCACAAGTGGCACCCACGTCTCCCCTTGAGATGTAGTACTTTCATGTCTAATGCTGGGGTGTGTGTAGGGGCTTCTCCGCCCTTGGAGAAGCCCGGGTTCTCTCTTGAGCACCTTACTCCCCATTCTCTCCCACTTTCTCTTTCTCCTCCCCTTCAAAACCTCCAAATAAAATCTGTTTCACTTCAATAGAAATTTTTTGATGGAAAATTTGTAGAACGTGGTATTCAGAACAGCAGATAGAATGTTAGAAGCTATTACTTATGTGTTTTTAAAAAAAATTTATTTAATTTTATGTGTGTGTATGGGGGGTGGGGGTTGGGTTGTATCTGGCACTGCTCAGGGATTACTCCTGGCTCTGCATTCAGGTTACTCCTGGTGATGCTCAGGTGACCATGTAGGGTACCGGGGTTCAAACCTTGGTTGGCTGCCAGTGAGGCAAGTGCCCTACTAGCTGTCCTTACCTCTCCAGTTCCATGTTGTTCGTTGTTTTTTTTTTTTTTTTTTTTGCTATTTTTGGGTCACACCTGGCGATGCACAGGGGTTACTCCTGGCGGTGCTCAGGGGACCATATGGGATGCTGGGAATTGAACCCCGGTCGGCCACGTGCAAGGCAAACGCCCTATCCGCTGTGCTATCTCTCAAGCCCCTCGTTGGGGTTTTTTTGTTTTATTTTTGGGCCACACCTAGCAATGCTTGGGGGACCATAATGGTGCTGGAAATGGAACCTGCGTCAGCTGCATGCAAGGCAAATGCCCTCCCCTCTGGACTATTGTTCCTGCCCCAAGTTGTTCATGTTTTTAAACCCGCACAATTTCCTTTATAGAATACTTTTGAAAAATCATATACTCATATTTGGGATCATAACGCGAATATGCTAGTCAGCAGCTTTTCCTTGCTACATCATCACCAGGGTTAGCTGCTTTTCTAGATGAACACACTAATCTGCCAAATAAATCCCCTGCATAAAGAACCCTGAGGTTCTTCATTAGAAAAAAATCTTCCTCCAGAGAGGACTTTTGTTCCTTAATGCTCTAGTTCTAAATGTCAAACATGATCTGTGCAGAATCATATAAAAGCCTTATCTGAATTCTGTAGTCCAAAGAATTCTGTTTCTGATAATGTTTTCTTAACTACTTTTTTTAGGATATAAGTGCAATGGAGGAAGAAAAGGATCAGCTCATTAAGAGAGTAGACCGCCTGAAGAAAAGGGTAAGGCGAGAATTAGCGCTGTCAGACTTTGGCCTCAATTCCCAAGAACTTGCGAAGATTTAGGAATGCAAATAAAGATTAAGCAAGGCCTGGGTGTATATCCAACATGGGCTCAAATAACGTTGACAGAAAGGAAATCTCGCTAGGCAGTGGCCCAGAATCTTGTGGAGTTTAGAGCCTACTGTCATCCCTAGGGAGTACTGTTTACCGAAAGGAAATGATAAGTGGCTGTCTGAGTCACGTGACTTGCTCATTTCTGTCTTCAGTCTGACAGTAACATGTACTACTTATTCTGTTACTGTAGGTGGAGACAGTTCAGAATCATCAACGAATGCTTAAAATAGCAAGGCAACTTCGACTTGAAAAAGAGAGAGAAGAATTTCTGGTGCAACAGAAACAGGAACAGAAGAATCAGGTATCTGCGTGAAAGTTTATATTCTCGCATTAAAGAAATAGTTTCTGCTCCTAATTCAAATGTAAAGAAAGAATTAGAATTATATAAATTCATGTTTCCTTTTGTTAACATGATGGAATTTCATCAGTATTTTGTGTGCCACCATCAACAATAATGGCATCTTTTGGGGTCCCTAGTTTATAGGTGTCTGTATACCATCTTTTATCTTATGTTTAATTCATGTTGTTTCAACCTTAGGAAGCATTCATTCTAAAATGAAATAGTATAATTAATTAGGCTTTTATTGTTTCTCTATAGCAGCTTCAGATTCTGGAGTTAGAACATCTTTTCGGTTTCTTGATCACAGGGTCCAGTGTATGTTACTTGTGGCAAATAAGCAAATCATGAAAAGGCTCCAAAATCACACATTCCACATCTTTTTCCCCCTACTTTATCTTAAAGAAAGAAAATTACCCGTTAAAAAAAATGCTGCTGGGGGCTAGAGCAACAGTATAGTGTGCAGAGCATTTATCTTGCATGTTTCTGGCCCAGGTTTGATCCCTGGCACCTCATGTGGTCCCCCAAGCCCACCAGGAGTGATCCCTGAGCACAGAACCAGAAGAAGCCCTGAGCATTGCCAGATGTGGCCCAAAAACAAATAATTTAGTTCTGTTGGGCTGGAGAGATAGATAAGACAGCAGGTAGGAAGCTTGCCTTGCATGGGCAGCCTGGGTTTGATCGCCCACATCCCATATGCTCCCCCATGCACTGCCAGGAGTGATCCCTGAGCACAGAGCCAGGAATAAGCCCAGCGCATTGCCAGTTGTGATTTCCCCCCAATAAACAAACAAATGAATAAAAACTGAATAGACTTAGTGATTAAAATATATTTCATATCAGTTTGATTTACTACTTACAAGGACAGTTCAGATATTCAGGCTCTTTGGAGTTGACTTCACATCATATTTCCTATGCAACAGAAAATATGGGTCCTGAATGATTATTTCACATCATTTTTTGTTCTGAGACATCGTTCACTAAATTCAAGCATGCCTTAGAATGAAGAAAACCAAGTTTTATAATTTTTTTTCTTCTTTTTGGGTCACACCCGGCAATGCACTGGGGTTATTCCTGGCTTATGCACTCAGGAATCACTCCTGGTGGTGCTCACGGGACCATATGAGATGCTGGGGATCGAACCCGGGTCGGCCGCGTGCAAGGCAAACGCCCTCCCTGCTGTGCTATCTCTCCAGCTCCGAAAACCAAGTTTTAATAAGAAACGCCTTCTGCATATATTTTTCTTGATCACCAGATTCAAGAGATAATTAAACTTCTGAATCCCTTTTTAAAAAAGTTTTCTTTATTTTTCTAATTTGTTCCTTTTATGTAATAATTATGTGACACACTTTTTCCTTGTTTATCTGTATGAGTGGTAGTTTTCAATAGACAAAGCTATGAGATTAAATCTAATAAATTGGTAATGGGTTTAATTCTGTTTTAAAGCTTTTTCATGCAGTACAGAGACTGCAAAGAGTACAGAACCAGCTGAAAAGTATGCGCCATGCCGCAGCAGATGCAAAGCCTGAAAGTAAGTAGACATTAGAGTATGATATTGATGCTCAGAGAATATTAATTTAAATTAGTGTTCTTCCTTAAAGCAGTCAGCCAGTGGGGATTATCAAGTGAGAGCGCAGAGTTTGGGGGTGTTGTCCCTAACGAGTGGAAGAATTCTCAGTGTCGGTACCTTTAGTTTTCCACTGAGGCCTTGAAATTCTGATTCAGCACATAGGCAGAGCCTACGGTTCATGAAAGTTACTCTCTAGTGTGACTATATAAAGTACGGAGGATGGATGTTCGGAAAAAGTTGAATGGAAAAATGTGAATTATTATTTTGTAACCAGGACCACAAAGAAAAAGAATTAAAATATGGACCCTTGAAATGAATGCTTTTTCTTGTTTTGAGTTGTTCCCTCAACTTCTTTGTCATAGTTGCTTTGTACAGAGAATTGTTCTAGTAGCCAGGATTGTATTGCCAAGGCCAGCTAAATGATTTTTTTATTACACCTCTCCTCCCCTAGTGGTTCGGGGGATGTATGCCAGGCCTTGTGCGTGTGGGCATGTGTCTTACCACTCGAGCTATTTCCCTGTCCCTGTCCTGGGAGATTTTAATGTGTTTGCTCATCAGAAGGGAGACATGTGAATTGGAAGAGTTGCTCAAAGCTCCTGTGAGAATACATGTGATGAGCGTAACCACCGTCCCTCTGTGCGCTCATCATGCTCCATGTGCTGCTTCAGATGTCCTATAGAGTGACGCTGTTCTTGCTGCATCCCTGGCCCTCCTGGCTGGACCCCATGCGAGCTACCAAGTCAGAGCTGGTCTCGCTGGTTCCAGACAGTGGCATAGTAGAAAGCACAGAGCCGGCACGCAGTAAAGATTTGGTTAAGTAGTTGGGAGATGGGAGTAGAGTGGAGGCCAAATCCTGCAGAGGCAGAAAATTATCTTTTCTACTGGGAGCAGGGATTGAGTCCCGTAGTAAAAACTAGCTGGCAGGGGGTAGGAAAAATGTATATTTCCTTAGTGATACCAGGGCTTCATACATGCAAAGCAATCACTCTGTCCCTGACTGTCAAGATCCAAAGGTAATTCTTTTTTCTTTTTGGGTCACACCTGGCGATGCACAGGGGTTACTCCTGGCTCTACACTCAGGAGTTACTCCTGGCGGTGCTCAGGGGACCGTATGGGACGCTGGGAGTCGAACCCGGGTCGGCCGCGTGCAAGGCAAACGTCCTACCCGCTGTGCTATCTCTCCAGCCCCCAAAAGTAATTTTTTAAGGTGACACATGTGCAATGTGTTTTTTTGAGAGTGGACATAGTGTGAGGAGCAGGACATTAAGGATTCCTTGCTTTGTTCATGTCTTTTTTGCAGATTGTGTTCAACAGCCTAGGAAAAATAAATTAAAAATGTTTATTTGGCCCAGGTATTTAGTGTAATAAGGTCTATCACAATTTGACTTATGAAAAGTTTCTATTTAAATAATATAAAAAGTATTTTAGAAAGAAAAAACAAATAGCACATATGCTCAAATGCAAATACACAGCATGTGCAGGTGAGATACTGTGTGCTGTGTAAAGAAGCAAAGCCAGGGATTAGACAGTCCCAGTGGAAACAAACCTTGAGCTGTTGCCAACAGAACAGTAAACTAAGGCAGCAGAGGGAGGCTTTGGGGGAGCAGAACCCCGGGGACGGGGATGGAGAATTATTGACACGGGTAGCAGTTGTAAAGCAAACAGACTGTTGGAAAAATAATTAATTTAAAAGAAATATTGAACCAATGATTAGATAGGCACCAAAAAATTATGTACGCCAGAATATTTAAAAAACAAATAATGGGCCAGAGAGATAGTATCGGAGTTAAGGTACTTGTTTTGCGATTGAACCCTGGTTCGGTTTCTGGCACCACATGTGGTTCCTGCTAGGAGTGATCGATCCCTGACCACGGAGGTAGGAGTAAGCTCTGAGAACCTGTGGATGTGGCCCCAAAACAAAACAGAATGTTTAAGCATTTTCATATAGTCTTGTAATTTATGTATTTTTTCAGAGTAACAGCAGCATTACAAAACATGTAATTTATTCACAAGAGTTTAGCCATTAAATCGTAGTAAGATCAGTGAGATATTTTCTGTGATTTTTTTTTTTTGTTTTGTGGCTGCACCAGGCAGTGCTCAGGGCGTCCTCCTGGCTCTGTATTCAGGAATCACTCCTGGCAGGCTTGGGGGACCATATGGGGTGCCGGGGATTGAACCGCAGGTGCCCTGACCATTATACTATTACTCCAGTCCCTTTCTCTGTGTTTTCAGTCAAAAACTTGATCATAGTGGTCATAGATTTAACTGGGGGGCTGGAGCAATAGTATAGCAGGGTATAGCAGGTAGGGTGTCTGCCTTGCATGCTCTTGATCTGGGTTTGATCCCCGGCATCCCATAAAGTCAGTTCCCTGAGCACCACCAGGAGTAATTTCTTTCTGGTTTTTTTTTTTTTTTTTGCTGGGGGCAGGGGCACACCCAGCAATGCTCAGGGGTTACTCCTGGCTCTGTGCTCAGGAATCACTCCTGGTGGTGCTTGGGGACCATATGGGATACCAGATGGAACCCAGGTCGCCCGTGTACAAGGCAAATACCCTCCCCACAGTGCTATCATTCTGCCCCCCCCCCCACCAGGAGTATTTTGAGTGCAGAACCAGGAATAACCCCTGAGCATCACCAGGTGTGATCCCCCCCCCCCAAAAAAAGCAAAAATACAAAAGCAAAACAAAAAAAAAGAATTAAACCAGAAGTGGAAAGGTAATTTAAAAACTACATAGAAACAGGACTACTGTCAAAGTCTAGGCTAAGATTTTAGGAGAATTTAAAACATGAGACTTTTAAAAAACAGCTCCGTTGAGGTGAAATTGATGTAATAAACTGCACACATTTGAAGCATAAAAACTTAATAATTTTTGATATTTTTATATACTGATGAAGCCATCACTGTTAACCAAGATACCGAATGTATCCACCTCTCCCAGAGGCTTCCTTGTGCCACCTCGGATAGGCTTCACCTCTCCACTTCTCTTCCTTTCTATCCCTGGGCAGCTATTGAGCTAGTATGTCATTATAGATTAGTGTATATTTTCTAGAACGTGATGTTTGTTTAAATATGAAAAATAGTTTGAAGACTTTTTAATTTTTCTTCTTTTTTTATGTAGGAGTACTGCTATTTATTCAGTCACTGATTAGCTGATTGAGTTGGTCATGAACACCTTTTTTTTCATTTTTTTATAATTTTATTTATTGAATCACTGTGAGGGCAGTTACAAAGCTTTTGGGTTTAAATCTCGGTCATACAATGAAACACTCGTACCTTCACCAGTGCCCATTCTCCACCACCAAAACCCCCAGTATACCCCCACCCCAAACCCGCCCCCAACCTGTGGGGCAGATGATTTCCACATTACTCTCTCTCTACTTGGATCACATTCAATATTTTGACACCAGACCCCCCCCATTATTATTTGGGATTTTACCCCATCACTCGTATCTGCTGAAAAGGCAACAGTAGACAACCACTTTTCCATTGCTGGTTAAGAATAACATATGACGTCACATGGCTGCAGTAGTGGCCATGCAATTTTGAAATTCCAAAATTTTAACACGTAAATCTAAAGGGATTTCTGCCAAAACATGCTGGGTTCCGAGATTTGTTCCTGAGTCTCTGGGATCATGGCCATTAAGCAGCTTGATCAGGAGCCAGAAAGGCCGTTCATGGGCGGCGACTCAGGGTCTTGTTGGGGTGGGGAGGAAAGGGCCGGCTCTACCCCCATCCCGTGAGGCCCTGTGTGTCTTGTCAGTGAGGACCCAAACCTGACTGTCCAGTGGCCACTGGAGGATGGTGGCCACCGAGCTGCCTGGGGGAGTAGGTGGAGAGACAACACCCTTTCCCTCCTGGGGTGACCCGGTGACAGTAACCTACTGCAGGGTCCAGACGCATTTCTGCCAAAAGCCACTGGGTTCCGAGATTTGTTTCTGAGTCACTTGGATCACGGTAGTTAAGCAGCTTGATCAGGAGCCAGAGAGGCCATTCATGGGTGATGACTTGGGATCTCATTGGGTGGGGAGGAAAGGACCAGCTCCACCCCCAACCCGTGAGGCCCCACGTGTCTCGTCACTGAGGGCCCAAACCTGACTGTCTAATTGCCACTGGAGGATGTCAGCCACCGAGTCGCCTAGTGGGAGTAGGTGGAGAGACAACACCCTTTCCCCCCTGGGTGGTCCAGCGACAGTAACCTACTGTGGGGTCCAGACACATTTCTGCCAAAAGCTGCTGGGTCCCGAGATTTGTTTCTGAGTCTCTGGGATCATGGCAGTTAAACAGCTTGATCAGAAGCTAGAGAGGCTGTTCGCGGGCTGCGACTTGGGGTCTCGTTGGGGTGGGAAGGAAAGGGCCAGCTCCACCCCCATCCTGTGAGGACCCAGCGTGTCTCGTCACTGTGGGCCCAAATATGACTGTCCAGTGGCCTCTGGAGGATGGCGGCCAGCAAGCCGCCAGGGTGAACAGGCCAAGGCACGAAAACCTATTCCCACCTGGGGTGGCCCAGTGCCAGTAACTACTGCAGGGACTGGATGCATTTCTGCCAAAAGCCGTTGGGTTTCGAGATTTGTTTCTGAGTCTCTGGGATCCTGACCATTAAATGGCATGATCAGGAGTCAGAAAGGCCATTCATGGGCAGTGACACAGGGTCTCATTGGGATGGGGAGGAAAGGGCCAACTCCACCCCCATCCCGTGAGGCCCCATATGTCTTGTCACTGTGGGCCCAAACCTGACTGTCCAGTGGCCTCTGGTGGATGACGGTCACCAAGCCGCCAAGGGGGAGCAGGCAGAGGGACAGAACCCTTTCCCCCCTAGAATGGCCCGGCGACAGTAACCTACTGTGGGGTCTGGACACATTTCTGTCAAAAGCCGCTGGGTTTTGCGATTTGTTTCTGAGTCTCTGGGATTATGGCCATTAAGCATCTTGATCAGAAGCCTCTGGCTGTTTGTGGGCAGTGACTCAGGATCTTTTTGAGGTGGGCAGGAAAAGGGCTGGCTCCACCCCCATCCCTTGAGGCTCCACATGTCTCATCATTGAGGGCCCAAACCTGACTGTCCAGTGGCCTCTGGAGGATGGTGGCTACCAGGCCGCCAGGGGGAATAGGCCAAGGCACGAAACCTATTCCCACCTGGGTTGGCCCAGCGCCCGTAATCTACAACAGGGACCGGATGCATTTCTGCCAAAAGCCGCTGGGTTTAGAGATTTGTTCCTGAGTCTCTGGGATCATGGTTGTTAAGCAGTTCAGGAACCAGAGAGGCCATGCCTCCAATTATATAGCTGAGCCAGAGGTGGTTTGTGGGTGTGTCTCCCACATACCTAACTTTTGGCCGTTTACTTTCTTGGTAAACTTTGCCCCAAGTTTTTGGGGTCTGGCCAAAGGCACAGCAGCAATTTTGGGGTATCTGGAAGTTTGAAGGTGCCATCAGGCTGCTGATGCACTCGCCTCACAGGTACAGATTGACCTGCTGGCAGCACCATACCCCCGACTTTTTAATTCTTAAAAGTATTTTGGATGGGCCTGGAGTGAAAGTACAGCGGGTAGGGTGCTTGCTTACCTTGCACGTGGCCAACCCAAGTTCAATTCCCGGCATCCCATATAGAACCGCCAGCACTGCCTGATTCCTGAGTGCACAGCCAGGGGTAACTCCTGAATGTTGCTGGGTGTGACCCAAACACCAAAAAAAAAAAAAAAATGGTATTTTGGGCTTTTATATTTTGCCTCTGATTACATGTTTAAGAACTTGAATATAGAAAAACTAGTCATCTAATAGCAAAAGAAGCCAACAGGAATGATTTTCTAAGTATTGCGTGAGTCATTCAACATTTTCTTCTTTCCTTTCCCCAACTCCTAAAAAAGGGAAAGTGGAGGACTGAATGGGAAACTCATGAATTTGCAGTAATAAATCTTTACGTGTTAATATATGGTTAACACAACAGAACTAAAAATAATCTTAAGGCTTTGGGCCAGATTTGTTATGCAATCTACGTACGTAGATTACTTAAGCCGGAAATTCAATGTTTTAAAAAGTTAAGCCAGAATTTGTAAATGTGTAATGGAAAGATCTGAAATAAACTTTTTAAAGCTCTCTAGGCTGGGAATTTATAACAAAACCATTATTCACCAAAAATTTGTGTGTGTATATTTTGCACTCGGCCAAAATAAGAAAACTATTAAACTGTAAAGTAGTGCTTCATAAAAAATACCAAAAATGGAAAAGCAAAAATGTTTAAGAAGGTAGGTAAGCTCTCTCTTTTGGATTTTAACTTACTGTCATTGTAAGTTTGAAGCTGACAACTTATAATTCCACTTATGAAGTATCAGGGTAGTTGAAAGTTGAGTTGAAAGTATTGTAAAAGAAAAAGAGTATGTGCTCATAGAAGAATGAACTTGACTTAGATTATGTTTGTGTTGTTATTTGGTGCATGGATTTTTTTTTTGCCTTTTGGGTCACACCTGGTGATGCACAGGGGTCACTCCTGGCTCTGCACTCAGGAATTACCCCTGGCGGTGCTCAAGGGACCATATGGGATGCTGGGAATCGAACACGGGCCGGCCGCGTGCAAGGCAGACACCCTACCTGTTGTACAATTGCTTCAGCCCCGGTCATGGATTTTTTAAAATAGTTAGAAGGCAAAATACCAGCACAACAATATATCTGTCTCTGCAAATGTTCTGAAATATAAAATAATTATATGGTAACTTAGAAAGATTATGCTACTTTTTCTATAATCCTTTACGTGTTTTCATGTAAATTTTTCTTAATTATCATACTAATATCAAAATATTTCAATAGCCAGTCTTTTACTGCACTATGTAAATAATGCATAAAATGTTTTCAACAGATGGCTTTCTCTCTAGATTTTCTATCCTAAAGTATATATCGATATGTCTACTCTCCTGCATATTCATTTATTTTGCTTTTTAAGGCTTAATGAAGAGACTAGAAGAGGAAATAAAGTTTAATTCATATATGGTAACAGAAAAATTTCCGAAGGAATTAGAAAATAAGAAAAAAGAATTGCAGTTTTTGCAGAAAGTGGTTTCAGAACCTGCTATGGGCCATTCTGATCTTCTGGAACTTGAGACTAAAGTAAGTGACCGTCAACTCATTCTTTTTTTTTTTTTTAATTGAATCACCATGAGATAGTTACAAGATTTCATGTTTGGGTTACAGTCATACAATGACCAAACACACATCCCTCCACCAGTGAACATTCCTTACCACCAATGTCCCTGGTATACCCCCGTTTTCCCACCCTCCCCTGCCTCCATGGCAGACAATATTCCCCATACTCTCTCTCTACTTTTGGGTGTTATGGTTTGCAAGAAAGACACTGAGAGGTTATCATGTTTGGTCCTTTATCTACTTTCAGCACACATCTCCCATCCCGACCGATTCCTCCCGACCGATTCCTCCAGCCATCATTTTCTTAGTGATCCCTTCTCTATTCCAGCTGCCTTCTCCCCTCCACTCAAGAGGCAGGCTTCCAGCTATGGAGCAATCTGTCTGTCCCGTGTATCTACTGTCCTTAGGTGTCAGCTTCATGTTGTATTGTTCTGTACTCCACAAATGAGTGCAGTCCTTCTATGTCTTTCAGTCAGCTCATTCTTACAGCTCGGTTTTGTCCCGTCCTATGAAATAGCTGCTTTCTATGGTGTCTTACTCTTTATCTTAACTTTTTCTGTGCTCAGGAGTTGACAACTCTTCCAATAAATTCATTATGACGATTTATAGCAGGCATGCTTAGAGACCTAGTGGGCTGAGGAGGAAATTCAGTAATTGGAAATCTAAAATAATGTATAGGTTTATGTGTTCATAATATAATCATTTATATGACAAAATTAGAGATATTTCTAAGAATATTAGAAGTTTCATATTTATTTTTTTTTTCTTTTTGTGTCACACCCGGCGATGCTCAAGGGTTAATCCTGGCTTTGCACTCAGGAATAACCCCTGGCCGTGCTCAGGGGATCATATGGGATGCTGGGAATTGAACCTGGGTTGGCTGCGTGAAAGGCAAATGCCCTACTTGCTGTGCTATTGCTCCAGCCCCAGAAGTTTCGTATTTAAAACTAATACATTATTAGCCTTTTTCACCAGTTTTGAAATTACTAAATTTTCTTGTAATATTCACTGAAACCTGGTATATCCCTGTATAACATTCTTGTCCCTTGGAATAAAACACTAATAAGGTATATTTTTAAATAATATTTAAATGCTGTGAGAATTTATTGAAAGGTTTTCACTTGCTTATCCTTTGAAATAATTAAGATGAGCCTAATTAAAATTCTATTTTTCTTATAGAAATTGGATGTCCATGTCAGATTTGGCTTATATTTAATGTCAAATTATTTTACAGAACTCTAGTCTAGTCTTTTTAAAGGACAAATATACTAAAAACCTTGTTCACTAAAAAAAATTGAGAGTATATGTTTCTGTTAGCTTTTACAGTTTTGCTATATTTTGGTGGGGCAGAGCAATAGCATAGCGGGTAGGGCATTTGCCTTGCACGCAGCCAACCCAGGTTCGATTCCTCCGCCCCTCTCGGAGAGCCCGGCAAGCTACCGAGAGTCTCTTGCCCGCACGGCAAAGCCTGGCAAGCTACCCGTGACGTATTCAATATGCCAAACACAGTAACAACAAGTCCCACGATGGAGACGTTACTGGACCTGCTCGAGCAAATCAATGAACAACAGGAGGACAGTGCTACACTGCTACAGTGCTTAATGTGTGGGATAAATTATGGTGACAGTAAAAATCTTTGGAATAGGAATGGCTTTTAGAAATGGTTTTTTTGCCATCCATATCGCCTCTCAGCTGAGTTCAGAAGTTCCTTGCACTAAATCCCTGTGGGTTGTTGTCCAGAATTTGCTTTGTCACTTGATCACTTGAAAGTCACAATATAGGTGAAGGGATAACTTTATTTTCTTTTTTCTCTTTGGATCACACCCAGTGATGCACAGGGGTTACTCTTGGCTCAGGCACTCAGGAATTACTCCTGATGGTGCTCAGGGGACCATATGGGATGCTGGGAATTGAACCTGGGCCGATCGCATGCAAGGCCCTACCCAACTGTGCTATCCTCCAGTCCCAGATAACTTCATATTTTTAGAAATCTTCCAAAAATAATATAAAGTATTTCATGTAGAATTCTTAGGAATAATTTAGACATGAACAGATAAATCCATAAAAGCAATTAAACCATGTAAATGTATGTCATGAATCACATCAATTGTGTCTAAAAGTAATCATAACTACCCAGTCATGATGTTAATGGAACTTTTCCATCAATTCACTGATGGTAATGTAGTAAATTTAGGGGCTGGAGCAATAGTACGGCAGGTAGGACACACGCCTGGCCCCACAGATGGATCATGAGGAGTGATTCCTGGACACTGAGCGAGGAGTCAGTCCTGAGCGCCTGAGCACTGCTGGGTGTGGCCTCCCAAAACCCCCCCAAAAAACCAAAACCCTGTAAATTTAAAACTCATTGTGACCGGTTGAGCTGTTCCTTAGTTTGTGTAATCATTTGGAGAGTTTTAACGTATATATTTTTAAACTTATATACTGTTTTAGATAAATGAAATAAACGCACAGATCAACCAACTTATCGAAAAGAAAATGATGAGAAATGAGCCAATCGAAGGCAAGCTCTCGCTGTACCGGCAACAGGTAAGACCACTGATTTGGCTTCACATTTGTTCCTGTAATCTTACTGGCTTTATCTTCATAAACACTACTGATGTGTTATTTGTAGTCCAAAGTGGAAAGGAAGTAAGGAATAAATGCTCTTCTGTCATTGCTAATCTTTAGATTATAATAGAGAATTTGTGGAAAAACAAAGTCCGACATTCTGATATATCAGGTTTAGTTTCCTTAATGTCTGCCAATGGGGCTGATAGCGATATTTACCTTTACATAAAAATTTATTTTTGTCCAGCAGTGCTTAGGACCTATTCCTGGCCCTGTGCTCAGGGATCGCTCTTGGCTGTAGTCAGGACATATGTGGTACTGAGACAGAACTGGGGTTGGCCACATGCAAGGCAAGAACCTTAACCCCTTGTACTGTCTCCTCAAATTTTTCATTTTTTTTTGTAAATGAAAGTTTTTACCTTAAAAGTAAACTTAAGGGGGCTGGAGTACAGTGGGTCAGATGCCTGCCTCACATGCAGCAGAACCTGGTTCAATCACCAGGACTCCATATGGTCCCCCAAGCCCACCAGGAGTAATTCTTGAGTGCAGAGCCAGAGGTTAGCCCTGACCAGACACAGATGGGTGTGCTCCCTCAAACAAAATAAAACAAAAACAAACAAAAGAAGGGTAAATTTAAGAGTTCTAAACTTTAAGGTTAAAATTGGAACGTTAAAGTTAAAATTTTTTTAGCCACAGAGGCCCAGAGGAATAGCTTAGTAGCTTCAGAGCCTCTCCGTTAAGTGTGAGGTCACAAGTGCCAAGAGTGGTCCTGGCTGCTTTGCTGTTAGTGACCGCCAGCACCACAAGCAGTTTCCAGCTATAGCCAGCTATGTGCGAATGCCAGGACTAAGGGGTGCCAGTTCCAGTAAGACTGATGCACAGATGCCAGAGCTAGCAAGTCTGACCTCTGTCAGGCACACATGTGAGCACCCCACTCCAGCCAGAGAACCCTCAGTCGCCTGACCACGTGACCTGACAAGCATGTGCACAGCTTCGCAACTAACGGAAGGCCCCCCTGGGTGCGCACCAAGGCCAGGATGTGAGCCCTCCCAGCCAGCTCCAGGGGGTCATAGACTTCAGCTGCTTCTCCCTGATGATTAGCAGCGTAGATGCTGAGTGAAATGAGTGCACGCTCTGTCGCAGCATCGGGGGCCCAAACAGCACGATTTCTAGGACCCTGCTCAGCACACTGTGGGGAGGGGACCAGGGACTGAACTCAAGTCCCCACGCCTGCGCAGCATTTGCCTCTTGCCTCTGAGCCGTTCCCCAGGTGCCCTAGCACATTGCTTCCAAAGATTGTCCATCTGTGTATGTATCAGTTCATTCCTTTTTATTATCAAATAATCTCCATTGTGCAGTTTTATCATACTTTGTTTTTTCCATTTATGGCTGGTGGGCATTTGGGTTATTTCTGCATTTTGGCTATTTTGAATAATGCTGCAATGAGCAGTCTTATTCTTTGTGTAGACATGTTTTCATTTTTCATGAACATATTCATAAAAGTGGAATTGCTAGTTTATATGCCAGTTCTGTGTTCACATTTTGAACAAATGCCAGATCGCTTTTCAAAGTGACTGTACCATTCCACATTCCCACCATCAGTGGGTGAAGAGTCAGTTTATTTTTCTGAGTTCTTCCTTCATATCTGTATCCACTTTTTGTATAGAATTTTTGGCTTTGGGGGCCTAGGTTTATAATCAAATAGCAACATTTTCTCCAGTTTGGCATTTTCCTTTTACTTTATATTGTGCTTTGCTGTAGGAACGTTCTGTATTTTTATGAAATTTATCAATTCTTTCATTCATGTTTTTATCCATATTTAGTGGGCTGGAGTGGTAGCACAGTGGGTAGGGCGTTTGCCTCGCATGCTGCTGACCCGGGTTCGATTCCTCCATCCCTCTCGGAGAGCCCAGCAAGCTACCAAAAGAGTATCTTGCCCGCACAGCAAAGCCTGGCAAGCTCCCTGTGACGTATTCGATATGCCAAACACAGTAACAACAATTCTTACAGTGGAGTCATCACTGGAGCCCACTTGAGCAAATCGATGAACAACGGGAGGACAGTGCTACAGCGCTACTCATATTTAATAATTTTTTTCCTCATAAAAGTTATAGGAACATTTACTCCTTTTTCTTTTGGTCATAAAGAATTTCTCTTTTGTGCTTTTATATCGCTGATGTATTTAGAATTTCTAGTGAATGATTTTTTATGGTATATATCTGTCCAGTTATCTAATTGTCTCAGTAACAGCAAAAAGTTAATTTTTCTGTGTGAATTTGAGATTTTATCTACATTTTATTATAAATTTAAAATTGCCATTGTATTTACTTCTGGATTTTCTTTTTTTTTAAATTTTTTCTTCTTATATTTATTTATTGAATCACTGTGAGAAAAGCTACAAAGCTTTCAGGTTTAAGTCTCGGTCATACAATGATCAAACACCTTTCCCTTCACCAGTACTCATTTTTCACAACCAAGAACCCCATATACCCCCCCTCCCACCCCTCTGCCTATGAGGCAGATGATTTCTACTTAACTCTTCTCTACATTGATTACAATTATTATTTCGACAAAATATGCACCATTATTTTTTAGAATTCCCCCCCCCAACAATCAGAATTGCTGAAAAGGCTTTGTGAAATGCTTTGTTTTCTATAGCTGGTATGAGAATCATATAATGTGGCGCGGCCGCTTTTGTGGCCTTGTGATTTTGGGTTTCTGCAAAGAGCCAGATCATTATGAGATTGTTTCTGTGTGTCTGGTGTTATGACTGTGACGGAGAGCCACTCGTGGGGGGCAACTCGTGACCTTGGTAAGGCGTGAAGGACAAGTAGGTACCGCCCCCCCTTCCCATGAGACTGCAGTTGCCCCGTCACCGCCGGTTCATACCTGGCTTTCCTATAAGCTCTGAGGCTGTGGCCACCTTGCTGCCGGGTAGAGGGGAGGGGGGGAGAGGCGGAAGGGAGCAACACCCTTTCCCTCCCGGGGAGGCATGAAGCCATAGTTTAACATATGGACCATTCACTTTTCTGCTGCAAGCTGCCGGGCTCTGGACTAAGTCCTTTTGCCTCTGAAGCCATGGCCGTGCCAGAGAGCCACTCGTGGGGGGCAACTCGTGACCTAGGTAGGGCATGAAGGACGTGCCGGTACCACCCCCCTTCCCATGAGACTGCAGTTGCCCAGCCACCGCCTGCTCATACCTGGCTGTCCAATAAGCTCTGAGGCGGTGGCCACCCTGCCGCCGCTGGTGGGGCGTGGAGGGGGAGAGGGAGGGGAAGGCCAAAGGGGGAAACACCCTTTCCCTCCCAGGGAGGCATGGTGCCATAGTTTAACGCATGGTCCATTCACTTTTCTGCTGCAAGCTGCCGGGTTCTGGATTAAGTCCTTTTGCATCTGGAGCCATGGCTGTGCCGGAGAACCGCTTGTGGGGGGCAGCTCGTGACCTCGGTAGGGCGTGAAGGACGAGCCAGTACCGTCCCCCTTCCCATGAGACTGCAGTTGCCCCGTCACCACCGGTTCATACCTGTCTTTCCTATAAGCTCTGAGGCGGCGGCCACTTTGTATGCGGTCCAGATGCATTTCTGCCAAAAGCCGCTGGGTTTCAAGATTTGTTTCTGAGTCTCCGATATCATGGCCATTAATCAGCTTGATAAGGAGCCAGAGAGGCTGTTTGTAGGCGGCGACTCGGGGTCTCGTTGGGATGGGGAGGAAAGGGCCGGTTCCACCCCCATCAGGTAAGGCCCCGCGTGTCTTGTCACTGCAGGCCCAAACCTGACTGTCCAGTGGCCTTTGGAGGATGGCGATCACCGGGCCACCAGGGGGAACAGGTCAAGGCACAAAGACCACCTGGAGTGGCCCAGCGCCAGTAACCTACTACTGGAACAGGACGCATTTCTGCCAAAAGCCTTTGGGTTCCGAGATTCGTTTCTCATGGCCGTTAAGCAGTTCAATCAGGAACCAGAGAGGCCATGCCTCCAATTATATAGCTGAGCCGGAGGTAGTGGTTTGTGGGTGTGTCTCCCACATACCTAACTTTTGGCCGTTTACTTTCTTGGTAAGCTTTGCCCATGTTTTTGGGGTCTGGCCAAAGACACAGCAGCAATTTGGGGGTATCTGAACGTCTGACGGTGCCATCAGGCTGCTGATGCACTCGCCCCACGGGTACAGATTGACCTGCTGGCGGCACCCTATCCCCTAGATTTTCTGTTGATCCATCAATCTTTGTGTTTATGTGCCATCATTAACTTTTAATTATGTAGACTTCATAATTAAGTTCTAATAATATCTAATAAAAGTAATCTTTTTACCCCTAATTGCTATACATCTCAGGGTTTTCCTTGCCATTTTTTGGATTTCTTCAAACAAACAAAAGACACCCATGATTTTTAAAAAAAATTTTATTAGTGAAACACCATGAAGTACAGTTGTAGACTTATAAATTTTGGTGCTTGGGTTTCAGTTATACAATGATCGAGTACCCATCCCTCCACCAGTGCCCGTTCTCCACCACCACTGATCCCAGTATCCCTCCCACCCCCCCATCCCCCCATCCCACCCTGCCTCTGTGGGAGGGCCTTCCCTTTTGTGCTCTCTCTCCTTTTGTCACCCATTATTTTTAATCACTAGAATTGCTTTATATTTATCTATCACTTCAGAACTTACATCTTTACAGTATTTGGTCTTCCTCTGTTCAGTTTTATTTTTGTGACTTGGAGGAACATTTGGTAGTTTTCTTCACAAAGTTTTGGATCCTGATCCGGAGAGATAATACAAAGGGCAGGGTGCTTGCTCACATGCGTCTTACCCAGGTTCGATCCCCAGTAACCTGTGTGGTTCCCCAAGTTTGCCAGGAGTGACACCTGAGTGCAGAGCCAGGAGGAAGCCCTGAACACCACTGAATATGGCCCCCTAAAACAAACCAAAAAACAGGTCTTGGGTCCATTCGTTAAATTCAGGCTTAGATATTTGATCTTACTTTTTGCTCCAATAAGTGAGGTTTTCCTTATTTTTCTTTCCCAGTTTGTCCTGGGATGCTGTTGGTTTGTTTGCTGTGACTTTCCCATAGATCATTTTGATGTGTTTTTCTTAGGTATATTATAATGTGCCATGAAAATATAAATTCTTTTCTTTTAAATCCTATGCTTCAGATTGTTGTCTCTGGTCCAATGTTATATACAACAGGAACCTAAGACTCAGTATTAAGCTCTAGAGGGTGAAATGGGGATTTTTATCTAGGGCCAGACTTCAGTGAGGGGTGATTTCTTGTTTCACTTTTAGAGTAGAAGACCAGTTTGAGCGAAGGTTTGAATTGATTTTGTCATGTTAAGAAGGTATACCATCAACTTCTATATAGTTCTAATGCAGTTATCATTCTCTCTCTCTCTCTCTCTCTCTCTCTCTCTCTCTCTCTCTCTGTCTCTCTCTCTCTCTGTCTCTCTCTGGCTGCGTTTTCTTTGTTTTTCCTTTTGGCTAGAATTCTGTACAGAGAAACATTTTTCATTACCTGTCTTTTCATTTCAAACAGGAAGGACAGCACCAATTTTAATGGGTTTGCACTGGAGAATTCTCCCTCTCCTGTCATCTTTGTTTAAAGAGAATACTTGTACGAGTTCACTTAAAAAGACAGTTTGACTAATGTTTTCCTTTAACTAATATAACCGTGGTTCATTTAAGGAAATCCCCTCAAAGTTGCTCTCTAATTAAAAATGTAATCTTGGCTGAGAACTACCATTTGGATTGTGTAAACATTTGCATAATTCCTGTGAGTCAGATGTTTAGTTTTTAAAACCTGCATCTTATTTATTAGAAAATCCCAAGTACAACAGTTATTTAACATCTTATTTTTGGTTTTTTCTTTGGGGGGCCTTTTTGGGGCCACACCTGGCTGCTCGGGGGTTCCTCCTGACTCTGCACTCAGGGATCACACCTGGCGGGCTTTGGGAACCCTATGGGATGCCTGGGATTAAACCTGGGTGGGCTGCATGCAAGGCAAACACCTTACCTTCCGTACTATCACTCTGGCCCTTTCACATCTTATTTTTAAAGTATGTGTATTACATTTAAATAAGATGACCTGAGACTCTTCGTGTTCCTGGAGCGAGCAGACGCTATTGGGCTATACTAGCACGTGACAGGGACGAATGGAGACATTACTGGCGCCCGCTTGAGCAAATCGATGAGTAATGGGATGTCAGGTGATCAAATGAAGTGATCAAGATGACCTGTGTTATAGTGTGAAGAGTAAAATCATTTGTTTCTTCTAATGAAACTCATACAGAAAGGCAATAGATTTAATGTTACAGTCTGTGTATCTGTAAGGTAAAGGTCCTCCCGTTGATCGTCGATTTGCTCGAGCGGGCCCAGTAACGTCTCCATTGGAGACTTTGTTGTTACTGTGTTTGGCGTATCGAATACTCTCGGTAGCTTGCCGGGCTCTCCGAGTGTATCTGTAGTATATTTTTATTAGGTCCTGCGTATACTGGACAAAATTTACTTTTTAAATCATATTTATAATTCATTCGCTTCTCTGCTAATATGTCCTATACTTTAAGAATCTTGCACACTCATACAAGACAAAACTGGTGATGACAGGTAAGAGGGCTAGGAACATTGGCCAGGAGAAGCCCAATTCATTCTGAACTCTTTACATGGTAAAATCTAAAATAGAATTTTTGATTCTGTGTCTTGATTTTCCTATCCAATGCTTAATTAGGCATCCATCATTTCTCGTAAAAAAGAAGCCAAAGCGGAAGAACTTCAGGAGGCCAAGGAGAAGCTCACGGGCCTGGAGAAGGAGGTGTCTGTGAAGACCAGTCAGACGCGGGAGCTGGATGGCGCCGAAGTCCTGAAGGGTGATGAGGTCAGTGGAGAGCCCTAGTGGACAATGATACGGCTCTGTTTTTGTTTGAAATCACTAATGTCTTTTGCCTTATGTTCTTTTCCCTAATATTATGATGTTAATCTTCTTTTATAAGGCCATTAAAAAATTCAGTCACTGTGAAGTTACAAAGTTATTCTTGCTTAGGTTTCAACACTACACCCTTCACCAGCTTCTCTTACCCCACCAGGCCCCCCCCCCCCCCGCCCCGACACTCCCATCGCCTCTCATCTACCAGCAGCTTCCACAAGAGGCACTTTTATATATAAATAGCACAGCGGTAGGACGTTTGCCTTGCACGAGGCCAGCCCGGCCGACCCAGGTTCAATTCCTCCGCCCCTCTCAGAGAGCCCGGCAAGCTATCGAGAGTATCTCACCTGCACAGCAAAGCCCGGCAAACTCCCTGTGACATATTCGATATGTCAAACACAATAACAACAAATATCACAAGTGAGACGTTACTGGGCCCGCTCAAGCAAATTGATGAACAGTGGGAGGACAGTGCTACGGTGCTACATATATAAATATATAAAAACATATATATTATATATATATATATATATATATATATATATATATATATGGGCTGGAGGTAGGGCGTTTGCCTTGCACACAGCCAACATGTCCGACCCGAGTTCGATTCCTCCGCCCCTGTCAGAGAGCCCGGCAAGCTACCGAGAGTATCTCACCCGCACAACAGAGCCTGGCAAGCTCCCCGTGATGTATTCGATATGCCAAATACAGTAACAACAAAGTCTCCAATGGAGACATTACTGGGCCCGCTCAAGCAAATCGATGAACAACGGGAGGACAGTGATAGACATATATATATATATATATATATATATATATATATATTATTAGCACTGTGGCTTACTACTGTAGCTGATAATGATTTCATACGTCACAGTTTCCCACCTCCTCCTCCAGCTTAAATGCTTCATAAATGCTGCCCCCTCCCTGTCCCAAGTGTTTCTTACTGAAGACCAGTTCTCATGTTCTTTGTTTTCATCGCCTTTGGATATTTATTATTACACCATTATAAAACCAATTTTTTTAAACTGAAAACTCTTTGCAGCAATATTGAAATATTCTTTTTTATTTTTGGGGGGTCATACCCAGCGATGCACAGGGGTTACTCCTGGCTCATGCACTCAGGAATTTCTCCTGGTGGTGCTCGGGGGACCATATGGGATGCTGGGAATTGAATCCGTGTTGGCCGTGTGCAAGGCAAATGCCCTACCCTCTGATGCCCTACCCGCTGTGCTATCACTCCAGCCCCTGAAATATTCTTAATGTAGAATAGCAAATCTTGGTACTCTTGTGAGGTAATATTTCAATTTTCCTTTTTCTGGTTTTAGGACCATACCTGGTTGTGCTCAAGGCTTATAGTCCTTAGAGATCCTGGTTCTGGGCTATTGATCACTCCTGGCGAGCTTGGGGGACCTTATGCGGTGCTGGGATCCAACTCTGGTCAGCCTTGGGCTGGACAAGCCCCTTACCCACTGGGCTATTTCTTAGGCTCAAATTTTCACGTTGGATTAAGTGTATTTACAATGGATTTGCTTATAACTGTTGTCATAAAAGTGAAGAAAATGAGTAAGAACTAACCAATATGACTAAAATCCTTATTTCTTGGCAAACACAATTCAGGGAAGGGCTGAAAGTCACAGGCACTTTGTTGGTGCCAGAGAGACAGCAGTACAACTGGTAGGGCACTTGCCTAACACATACCCTCTAAGGTTCAATTCCTGGCATGACATATGGGCCTCTGAACCTGATCAGGAGTGATTCCTGAGCACGTGTGGGTGTAGCCCACCCAAAACAAAGGTTGCATTGTTAATATGTTTGTTTGGTCAGTTAGAGGAGTATATTTAAAATGAGCACTTATGGATGTTTATGAAATTTTAAAATACAGTTAAATGTTACTTTGTTACATTAAATTTTCTTAAGTGCTTGAACAGCTCTAATTTATTATTTTGTCAGGCTCTTGTGATTAGAAGGACTGATAATATTGTTACTTACATATAGCTAAACAGTACCAAGGTATGTTATTCCCATCTTCTTCTCATAAAGAAGAATGAATGCAGGAGACAAAACATTCTTTAGTCAACTCAGTGCTTTTTAGCAAATCAAGTCATAGGTCAGATTTTAATTCCTAAATGGTGTGTAAATTTACACAGCTTTTTAATTGAAAGTTGTCTACTGGGCTTTTTAGCAAAAGCTACTTGGAATAGTTGTTCTTGGGGCTGGCGAGATTGTTCAGTGGATGGGCGCTGGCCTTGCATGCAGCTGGCCTCGGTTCCATCCCTGGCACCCCATATGATCTGAGCCTGCCAGAAGTAAGCAGTGAATGCTGCTGGGTGTAGCCCCCATCCCCAGAAAAAAAATTGCTCTTGTCCAAACTTCATTTTTGCTTTGAAAAGTTCTTTAATTCATACTGTCACAATTGGCAGTAAACATTCACTGCGCCAGACACAAATGAACTGTTCCCACAGTTCCCAATTCCTTGGAGGCGCGTCTGTGCTAGCCTCCCAGCAGTAAGCCTTTTAGCTTACTGGGGAAGGATATTTCAACACTTGATTGAGAAATTCCTTTGGATTTTAGCTTCCACTTCCAGATTGCTTTAAAACATGGGCATATTTTAAAGGATACTTGCAAGCCTACAGCCTGTGCTTCGTGACATCCTAGCTATTCAGGAAAAAGAAAATTAATTATGCGGCAATTTTGCTTTATAAGAGACCATGCTACCACCTAGCATCTTATAGTCTTTTTTCCTAAGAAAAGATTTTCTTAAGAAAATGCTGCTCAGCTTACAGGAAGTACGGATGGCTGTGGCCACATTTGGCAAGAATAGTACTTGACATTCAGTATTAGATGCCAGTATAAATGTTAGAGAAGAGAATCTCGTGGCGTGTTATTAGGTTTGTTTTTGGGAAATGTTGGTGAGTAGGATTAACTGATGACAAAAAGGGTCATACTTTTTGGTGTTATTTGGACCTCACTAGTTGTACTGGAGGCCACCGGGTCTATACCCAGAGGTCCCTGGGAGGCCATCATACTTTCTTTTTTAAGGGGAAAAGGTAACTGGAAATTATTAGATCAACTTAATTTTTTAAAACAATGTCTGATCAGAAAATAAGAAAATTGAACTAAATCACTTGGCAGTTACCTAAAAGAACAGAAGGTATTGGGGAACATCTTATGAAGAACAAATCTTGGTAGGCTAATTTTATTTTCCACTTTGATAAGTGATAGGCCATATGGACAAATGAAAGAAGTTTGTGATACTTAAAATTATATAATATAGCTGGACTTCACTGACGCTTCATTTGGTGTCACATGGTAATAATCACCAACAACTCATGTTCTTTGCCATCCATCTGTTAACACAGTTGGTGAGAGGATATGGAAAAGTAGTAGCATGGTGTTTGGAAAGGATTCGATGCCAGGAGCTGCAAATAAGGAGAATGAGGAGGGGAGGGCAAACATTTATTGAGCATTTTTTTATCAAGGCTCTGTGCTATAGGTTTTGCAAGCAGACACCTAACTTCTTATAAGAAGTATTATAATTTCTCTTTTACAATTGAGGCAAGATCAGGATTCATGTATTTATTTTGATTTTTGTTTTGGGTCACACCCGGAGATGTCCAGGGGTTCCTCCTGGCTCTGCACTCAGGACTTACTCCTGGTGGTGCTCAGGAAGCCATAGGGGATGTTGGGGATCGAACCTGGGTCAGTCATGTGCAAGGCAAATGCCCTACTCACTGTATTATGGTTCTAGCCCCAGGATTTTATAATGTGAGATTATATCATCACATAGCTAATAAGTGGCCAATCTGAGATTTGATCTCTCTCATTTCTGTTGAACTTAAGCAAATCATTTAGCCTGGATGAGGTTTTACCATGAAAGTAGGGGGTGATTGATCTTAACAAATACTAAAACTACCATAGAAACTCAAAAGACTCAGTCACCATAGGAAATCTGGTGCCTGATGTAAATTATTTTTGTGGGCTCGATGCTGCTGCACATGTGAAAGGCATTACTGTGGCATGGCCAAGAGTGGCCCTCGAGTTTGGGTCTTTGAGTGCTAACTGACCTTGTCCATTTACGAACTGAGTGGCCTTAGGTGGGCTCCTTAGTCTCTTTGAAATTTGCTGTAAAATGCTGCTGATGTATATCTTTTGAATTAATACTGTGAAGATGAAATGAGTTGATACCTCTGAAGCATGCGGAGAGAATTAGGCATATGTTGTTTGGAGTGTTAGCTCCTTTTTAAAAATTTTAAACCGTTTTTATTTACGTATGGAGATTTACGATCTTGTTACTCGTTCTTTTCCTGGATGCATCATTCCAGCACCACACCCACCGCCAGGCTACCCGCTTCTCTCCGCCAGTGTCCCGGGTACCCCTCGCCCCTCTTCAAAGCTCAGTTCTGTAGACGGAATCTTCTGTTCTGATTATTTTGACCATCTGTTGTATGCTTACTCTGCTTCTTTTCATCTCACACTTGAGACAGACCTCTCCTCTCTTTTAGCAAAAAATGGTGGCCTCAACCCAACAGTGCTTGAGACGGCGCGTCATTCCCTACAATGCTGTTCCTTGGCGGTGCTGGGAGCTCTCGGGGTGACACGCTGCAGTGCTCAAGGGGGCATGTGGTGAGAGGGTTAGAGCTGAGGGCCTCAGATATGTTACATGTGCACTCTACCACTTGATCTTTCTCTGTACTCCAGGCATAGATAGGAAATTCTTGAATGTTGAAATTATCCTCTCAGTGACAAGAGATTTTCTTGCAGGTCAAGTCCACCTCTGACTAAAGCCAGGAGAAGAAGTCTATTGCCTTAATTTTTACCCACCGTACTATTGCTCTGGCCCCCGGACACTTTTTCTATTTATTTCTACTAAATTATTCCCAACCTGGGAAATTCTTATATGAATTTTTAAGCCATAAACTATATTCCTAACTTTAAAATTATTCATT